GAAGTTGCTTGACAATAGATGCTTTGTTTGAAAATAGTTTTAAGATTTTCATGATTACAGTGTTTTTATTCCTTTTTCTTTCTTAGGTGATATAGTTTTAGATTTTTATTTTTATTTTTTTCAATTAGAGTAAGAGAAGGAATTAATGAATTATTTTTTAAAATAATCTTATCCAAATTCTCCTGTGTTTCTTAGGCAATTGAAATTGTACTGTGGATGGGTACATCTACTATAGCTATTTTTAACTCTTTGGTGACGCTTTTAAAAATTATAATCATTCTGCAGCATCATTTGTGAATTTTTTGTTTTTGTTTTTTCCTTTTTTGGGACATCTGATAATTAGTTATATAAAAAAAAAAATAGTTCTCTTCTATTTTTAAATCCTTCCCCACCCAATTCAAAATAATAACTTGAAATTTTTAACTTAGAATTTCAAACTTTTAATTGTTGAATCACTTAATTTGAGTTATTATGGATTTTTTTTAGAAGAGTAGAAGATAGTGTTGAAACTTTTGAAGATTTAGAAGACTAAAAATGGTAATCTATAAAATTTAGATTGTTAAAAAAAAAAAAAAAGATGTGATCGATAATTTTGGCACCTTAATTTCACTTTACATGAAATAAATTTTAACCTTTAAGAAATCAGTGTGTACGATACAAAGTATTTTGACTTGAAAGGTTTGTTTAAACATAAATGAATATTTTATTTTTGAGAGTAATTTTTTTTACAAACTTCCTGGTATTCAGAAGTTACATTGGACTCAACAAATATGGAATCAAGTCACATCAGAACCCATAAATAGAAAAGTTTTCTCAACGTCTATTTTTTTATTCATAAGATTTAAACTCGAAACTTTATTTAAGAAGAATTAAATTCCTTTCACTAAAACCAATAGGTCATTGGTTGAGAGGAATTTTTTTACTTCTTATAAGTAGAGATGTTTATATCTTATCCAATTTAGTTGATCTAACCCAAACTAACCTAATCCAATTAAAAGTCAAATCAAACCAAATCAATATAAAATTAGATTAGTTTGAATTATAAAATTTTAAAATTGATATAACTGGTTTAGTTTGTGATTTTATTTTCAAACTGCTTGAACCACTTGATTATAAAATAAAACCCAATTATAAAATAACTTAATTAAATAATATAATATTTTTTTTGTAATATTTTAAATTTTCTTTTTCTTATTTCATGAGTTAATAACTTTATTAATTTAATTAAAAAATAAAAATAGAACACCCTCTTATTTCCTAATTTATTTTTCCTTCTTAATCATGTAATCTAACTCTAATTTTAAATTTGTAATTTACCCCTCAAAACTAGTCTATGACTTTGTTCTACTCTAAATTTCTAATTTGTTCATAAAATGTTATTTTGATTCTCCTAATTAAACCTTAAAGAAGCATAATTCAAGAAGTAAAACCTCATAATAAAACTAGTCTTAATATTTTGCTATTCTTGCATGTTTGGTTGAGAAGTTTTAAATTTTAATTATAAATACTTCTAATCAATTCTATTGATATTCATTTTAAATTTTATTTGCTTTTAATTAAGTTTAAAAGATAAGATCAAGTGATTGGTGTATTAAGAAAAAAAAAAAAGAGAAACTAATTTTAACCTTTAAAAATTACTTGCATCATATTCGAAACTTCAAGAAAAATTTTCAAATCTTTCAATCTTTTATTAAGGAGTATAAGAATATTTATAATTTGTGTTTTTTTTAATTATGTTTTTATTGATTTAAATATTAATATATTTTATAGTTATATTTTCTATTTAAAGAATAATATCTATATGCTTTACCTTTTTATTTAAAGAATAATATCTATATGCTTTACCTCTCAAAAATTAGGAAGCAAGGCTCAATAAAACACCATTCTACCCTGTTCTCAAGT